AAATGGTAAATGTTTAACTTAGAGTGTAAGTATAAGTAAGTATGGTATTGTATGTTATTATATGACTGTTTTTGTTTGTTTTGGGTCCAGGTTGTTTTTTGGTGAAAAGCACCTTAGCTTTCCCCCTACAAAACAACTTATAAAGAGGGGAGGTGTTACATACCGCACTGATGTTACCTGTCTGTCATGGGTTTGGAGGGAAAGTTCCATCCTATGGGGAGTGGAAGGCGGGACATCAGGAGGAGGGGCTGTACTGTATATATATGTGGAGCGTGTGAGGGAGAAGCTGGAGAAGAGCTGAGAGCAGAAGCTTGAGTGGGAGTCTGTGTGTCAGACAGGGTACTACTGTGTGTCAGTCAGTACCAACCTGATAGGTTCAGGTGTCTGTAGGGTTAGCCAGAACTGATAGGTTCAGGGTCTGTGCTTCAAGTTAAGTGTTTTGTGTGAACCAAACTGGGTGTATGTATGAGTGAGACTAAGCCACGTTACTGTATCTTATTCATTTGATCCTTTTATTTTCCCTGTGTGTTATGTAAATAAACCTTGTTCTTTTATTTGTTAAAAATCCATCCCTGGTCTGTGTGACTTCTTATAGGGAATGGTTGGTGGCAGCTTAGTGAAACTGTGGCATATCCCAGTAGGTCTGGGTTTGTCACAATGTGTTCTTCCCAAGTGTCACTATATATCAATATGTCATCAATATAGGCAGCTGCATAAATAGCCACAGGTTCTAACACCTTATCCATTAGCCTCTGTAACGTTGCTGCTGCCCCATGTAACCCAAATGGCATGAGGGTAAATTGATACGAGCCATTAGATGTGACAGAAGCAGTTTTCTCTTTGTCAGTTGCTCTCAAGGGATTTGCCAATATCCTTTGAGCAAATCTTACGATGATAGTAATTTAGCTCTTCGCAATCGTTCTAGTAGGTCTTCCACCTTAGGCATAAGATAGGCATCGAATTTAGATATAGCATTCAGTTTTCTAAAATCAATACACAACCAGACATTTCCATCTGGTTTAGGGACAGCCACTGGATAACGCTTCCATGGACTAAAAGATGGTTCTATCACTCCTAATGCAAGCATCTTTGCCACCTCCGTGTTAATTGTTTCTTTGAGGTGATGTGGCTAATTTCTTCCACCTACTCTAACTACCATCTGAGAAGTGTTAATCTGATGTTCAATCATTGAAGTTAACCCTGCTCTATTAGAGAAGATGTCACTGAATTCTTTCTCTAAATTCCTTATCTGTAGAATTTGTCTCATCCCTCTTCCTCTAACTGTTGGTTTTCTGTAGGCTGCACACAAGCCATGGCTTCGGGGCCAAAATCCTCCTCCTCTACCCCCCCATCCTTCCCTCTCCTTCCATTCTTTCAACAAATTCATGTGAAATATCCCAGATTTCTTCTTCTTATCAGGTGTGGCTATTTCGTAATCAACTGGTCCTATTTTCCTTATAACTTCATACAGGCCTTGCCATCATGTGAATAGTTTGGCATTTTCTGTTGGCAACAACAACAATACCTTCTGTCTCAGCTCAAACTGCCTTGTTTGTACTTTGGAATCGTATCTCTTCTTTTGACTCTGTTGTACTTTCTGTAATAGGTATCTGGCCATTTCCGCTATCTTATTCAAATGTGCCCTCATTTCTATCACTTGTTTTAACTAATACTTGTGACTCATCCTTGCCAGCCTCCCATTTCTCCTTCACTAAATCTAATATTTCCCCTAGGATTCCATCCATATATCATTTCAAATGGTGAGAACCCTGTGGAGGCTTGAAGTACCTCCCTAATGGCAAACATCAATGGTGCTATCAATAGATGCCATTGATTAGGTTTTCCATCACTAACTTCCTAAGCATGCCCTTCAAAGTTTTATTAAATCTCTCTACCAACCCGTTTGGGGATGGTATACAGTCGTGTGCACTGGTTTGACTCCTAATAGATACCACATTTCACGAAAGGTTTGACTCATGAAATTTGATCCCTGATCTGTTAGAACTTCCTTGGGAAAACATAATTTGGAGACTACTTGCATTAATTCTCTAGCTAAAACTTTGGCAGCAGTGGATCTCAATGGTATAGCTTCTGGGTACCTAGTGGCATAATCCACCAAAACAAGGATATGTGTATGTCCCCTAGCTGATTTATTAAAAGGTCCCAGTATATCTAACCCGATTCTGTCGAACAGACGGTCTGCTAAAGATATAGGTATCAGTTGAGCTCCAGGTCTGGGTTTGGATAGTGGCATAATCCACCAAAACAAGGATATGATCTATTAAAAGGTCCCACTATATCTAACCCAATTCTGTCGAACAGACGGTCTACTAAAGGTATAGGTATCAGTTGAGCTCCAGGTCTGGGTTTGGATTGGGTAAACTGACATTCTTTACAAGTCTTACAATGCTCCTCTATTTCCTGATTTATCTTAGGCCACAAACCTCTGTAATACCTGTAGCACATCTTCTGGGTGGCCAAGTGTCCTGCCATGGGAATATCATGAGCCAATTTTAACAATGCCATCCTCCATTTTTTGGGAACGGCTAATTGTTTGGTTCCCTCCTTATTAACTCTGTATAATAGTCCTTCACATAGTTCAAATCCCATTTACCCTGATTTAATTGTGCCCTCTTCACACGGCTGTTGAAATCTGCCAAAGTGGGGTTGTTTTGTTGCCATAGATGGGTTTGTTCACGTGATGCACCTTCTAAGAATTCTTCCGCTCTGTTAACCTCTGTGCATTCTCCTTGCATCCCTTTTTTGAATGGTATTAACATATGGGCCCCCACCCTATTTCTCCCCAATAGCATTTCTTTAGCTAAACCTGGTACTACCCCTACTTTTAATCTTTTCCTTTCCCCACCTACCTCCACCTCCACCCAGGCCATATGATAAGGTTTCAGGTCCCCATGAATACATTGGATCATCATGTTTTCGACCAGCCACACCCCTTTCAGGCTTCTAACTAATGTCTTTCTACAACCGGTATCTACTAAAGCCTTCACCTCCATCCACTCTGCTCTGAGCCCTGGACCTGTAAGATGTTCGGGTTCTGTCTGACCCATGAGGAGTCTATGCCAGGGCAGTCGCATCGATGATGGCCTTCAAGTCCGCATTGGTAACACGCAGCTTTGGAGTCTCTTCTCCCTCGCCAATTGGCTTGCAACTCAAAGAATCTTGTGTCTACAATCACTGGTCTCACTGGTTTAGGACCCATGGGTTCAAACCCTTCTCCTCTTCCTCTCTCGGGCAGACTTCCCATTACAGGTCTGTGTGATCCAACTCCTGAAAAACTGCTGGTCTCCATTTTCTCTTACCCTCTGTTTTTTTCTTGCACAAAGGTGGAGTTTTCCCTGTTATTTTCTTCTGCAATACAAAAGTCCTCCACTAGATGGACCACTTCTTCCAAGTCTTTTGGATGGTTACACTGAACCCAGCTACGCATATTACTCCCCAGCATAGTTACTAACTGTTCCATTATGATCAAATCTAGTAACTGATCTTTTGTTTTCTCTTCTGGTCTTAGCCATCTAATAAAGTTGGCTTTCTTCTTCTGCGTTAATGCTCTGGGGTGTATACCTGGTTTCATTCTTAAATCTTGAAACCTCTTCTGATAAGCTTCCTCCATTAAATTGGCTTTTGGGGACAGTGTGTCCACCAACTCCTCTAAGACTCCAGACAAACAAGGAGTTAGTATTAGTGTCCATTGTTCCTGGGGCCATCCAGCTGCTGTTGCCACCCATTCAAATGATGCAAATAAGCCCTAGGGTCATCTTCAGGTCCAGTTTTCTGTATGTGTATAGGAGCTGGTCCGTGTCTAGTTGTGCTGGCCACATGACCACAGAAGATTTTGTTCGGACAAACGCTAGCTCTATGGGTTGGAAACGGAAATGAGCACCACCCCCTAGAGTTGAACATGACTGGACAAATTGTCAAGGGGAACCTTTACCTTTACCTTTTATCAGTTGCCAAAAAAACCACCTTGGCTGATGACAGCATTACCCTTACACCACACAACGTACACAGCCACCGATAATGACCTTTTTGTCTAAGTACCGTTTCCCCAAAAATAAGACCTAACCTGAAAATAAGCCCTAGTATGATTTTCAGGATGCTCCTAATATAAGCCCTACCCCCAAAATAAGCCCCAGGTAAGTGAAACCCCACCTTCCCCCACTGTGCAGCAACCAGAAGAAGATGACATGACTGTATTTGAATAAATGTAGATTGTTGTACATGAAAAAAATAAAACATCCCCTGAAGATAAGACCTAATGTGTTTGTGGAACAAATATTAATATAAAACCCTATCTTATTTTTGGGGAAACACGGTAATTGTATTTTAGAAATGAAGTTCTTTGCCATCTTACAGATTATTTTTTTGTGCGTGTCATGATTGTAAAGCGGGAGTAAGTTTTGTTGGTTTTAGTGGTGCTTGCTTCTGAATGCATAGGTCTGGCTTGTCAAATGCATGCCTCTGCATACCATTTCTTGAGGAATACAGGTAGAAGAATGCTGTTGCAATCATTTCAGAGAGGCTTTAAGTGACTTATATTCATCTAAAATATTTGTAAAAATACAAATATTTTAGATGAATATTTCTCCCAACTGACTACTCCATCTCTTTTAGAATTACAGGCATTTACATTACCCTCTCCTTTGCTGTAGAAAAATGGTAAATATGGAACATCCCCCTTTGTCTGTTTTGCTTCTATGAAATGGATTCTCATTTACAAAACCCGGCTTGCATGTCTTCAGGCAATCACTGTATTTCCCAGCATATTTTTTATTCTTTTGTTGCCACTAGTAAGGAACTAACAACTTTTCATTCACCCTCTAGGTGGCAGCATATGACTTCAATCTCCCAATAGACATTAATGTTGGTGAGACTCAATCTTCACTGAACACCAAGAAAAGGGCAAGCCCTGCTGGCTCAGCAAAGCATATCATTGTCCCACGGCCTCAGTCATTGAATATGCCTACTCAAGTATGTAAAGTTCAAGCAACTGGTATGTAAATCATGGAAACGAACCTAGATTTGAGTGTACAAAATATGACGTATAATATATTCTCAGTGCTTTTTCCCAAAGAAGGTAAGAAACTTAACTAACAGAAGTAAAAAAAGTTGACTCTCTGACTTGACTGCAGTTTTTGGAACAAATGATAACTGTGTATGTTTCTTTCCAGTTGAAGAGCCAGCACCATAGAGATAAACTGATAAATGTTTGAAGTAATGGTACATAGAAGATTGTAACAGATACTTTCTTGATTAGAAAATAAGTATGTTGAAATGTTCTAGTCAAGGACATAGCTAATATTCTGTATGCCCTGACCTCAAACTATATTGAAGTAAGAACTGTTTGGTTGTTGCTATTTTGCTGTTGGTTGCGTGCTGCTTTTATATCATCCCATAGTGCTTAAAGTACTCTCTGGGAGTTTTACAATTCAATTATGCGGGCTACACATTGTCCCTCCCCCCAGCAAACTGAGTACTCAGTTTATCAACCTTAGAAGAATGGAAAGCTGAGTGAACCTCGAGCTGGCTCTGTGAGAACGAACCTGGATTGTGAGCAGAGTTTTGGCTGCAGCACTGCAATTTAACCACCGTGCCACAAAGTTTTTGTTAGTTCCATTGAAAATAATCAATGCAAAAACCTTTATTCTTTGCTTCTTGTTGATGATGATCCTACAATTTCCCATTGGTTGTTTCAGTAGAACAGTGCTGGCTTCAGCTGAAGTGGCTACTTGCTCTGAGAATCTAACACTGGAGAAGCAGTGAGTAGGAAAGGACTTTAGTCCAGCATTCTGTCATCCACCACTCAGGCTTTTCCTAATCAGTTCTTGCAATTCCAGACTACTGTGCTGTATCCAGATGTAATAACATATTGTGGCTCTGTTGTTATGGGAACAAGCCAGCACAAATTTGAGGTCTATGGGCTCCTCCATCCTCCTCTTCCTGTCCACGGAAGATGGAAATCTTCTGACTTTGGACTAACACAATTTGCCATTATATTTGAAATTATGGAACTAGAATATATTCAAACATTAGGGAAAACACATCTGGATCAAGTTGTGGTAGCACCATAATTTACTAATGGATTATGTACAGTATTATCATTACATTTAACCTGGGGCACAGTGTTAGATTAAGGGAATAATCAACCATACTATTGAAACGTATATGGAAATTAAGTGGAAAAATATTTTGGATCACTTAGCAAAGGGCTTCTCAAGGTTTCGTGTTACTTTCCAGGTCCAGGTCCTGAAATGACAGGATAGAAAGATAATACTACTGAAGAGAAAATCTTACTGGTTGCACAGTTGCTCATGGCCCAACATGCTGCCTCTGGCAGTGAGTGTCACTGTAGCATCCTAAAATCATGTGGGATGAAAATTACAAAATCTTGTGTGTGACAGAACGAGATCCTTCAGTGGATCATAGCCAAACCATCTGATGCCCATTTTTGCACTGAGCACTAAGTATTATGGTTTTCTTTTCTGTCAGCTCTTCTGAGTAAATTCTTATCATTCCATTACCATTTGCCCCTTATTCTCAGCCTAAATTTGACAGCATTAAATTTCTGTAGGTGTTTTCTTATGCTGAGAGCCATCTTTAAGATAAATTGCTCTGCTTACTTTCCTTGTTTATATTCTCTGTCTCCTGCTCATAAGTATTCTATTCCAGTGAGTCACGGAGCAAATCTAGACCTTTAAAAATAGTTTTTATATAGCGGTATAGCTTCAGAGCATAGGGATTGAACATCTAAATATCCATTTATCTTCATGTCTAAAGTTGATAACATGTTCAGAATGAAGTAAAGAGCAGCCATGTGGTCCCAAATGAAATTAAATCCAAATGCAAAAATAGGCAATACCTTTACGGACCACTAAAAAATCATCACACAATAAACTGAGCTTTTGTGGATTAACACCACTTCATCAGGATTGTAGCCATGTGAAGAACTTAAAGTCCAAAACATAAAGTCTACAAGTACATGGCAAGACAGTTTTTTGCCAGGAAGGTTGCTCTTAGATGTTAAGTCCTGCAGTTCTTGGCCATTCGCCAGGCTTTTCCCTCTTACATGGAGGTAAGGAGTCTGGTTGTTGTTTTATGGTTGCAATTTAGGCAGCCAGTTCTACAAACAAAGAAGCATCTGCCTCCATCTATTTTTGCGTGTTCAGAATGAGAATCCAGTGAGAACCAGTGTGTTCTCTATTGTGTGCTGTGGGAAGTTGAGAGCAACAACAACAATGGTATCTTGTACATCCATTTTGAAATAGCATGGTCCCTTTCAACTTTATTTGTTTCATGTTGTCTGGGAATTTTTACATTGCCATTTTAAAAATATCTGCTCCTCTCATTTTGTTATCTAATAAACTTTGTGGGATGAATTAAAAATAATAACATTATTATTGTTATAATCATGAAGAGCTGAATATGTAAATATACGTTTGTTCCTCCTTGCAGTTCTAGTGTTTTCTGTGTCTATCATGAGAGGCTCTTTTGGAAATGTAGTGGGACTACATTTCCTGTTCAGGACCAAGTCACCCAATAGGTCAGAAATATGTTTTTCCCTCAGGCTTTTCGTGATCAATTAGCACCTGCAATTTCTTTTTCCACCTTTGACTTTTTTCCCTAATTGATATGTAAATTTATCACTACTGCATTCTCTGGTATTTTTGAAATTTGCAGTGTCATCCCATTATGATAAGAACCCAAACCTTCTTTACACTGATAGTGTCCTCTGCTACACAGATTTTATTATCCAACTAGTTTTCTCCTCCAGCAGCAATAATATATATATTTCTTTTAAAAATAGTATGAAATGTACTGGCAGAGTCTAGTGACTAACAAACAGAATCCAGAATGTGAGCTATAACAGAGACATGAAAATCTGGGGCCCTTCAGGTACTAGCAGGCTTTGAATAGTGTGTTTCCCCAAAAATAAGACAAGGTCTTACATTGTTGTTGTTGTTGTTGTTGTTGTTGTTGTTGTTGTTGTTGTTGTTGTTGTTGTTGTTGTTGTTGTTGTTGTTGTTGTTGTTGTTGTTATTATTATTAATTGTATTTATACCCCACCTATCTAGTCATTTCAACCACTCTAGGCGGCTTACAACATAAAACATAACAAGTTCAAGAAACATTTATAACAATTAATTAATTAAATGATTTTGCAATGGGAAAAATACAAAATAAATCAAATAAAGAGAGAGAAAAAGGAAAGAGGACAGGAATTAACTGGAAGGGAAGGCCTGCCTATACATCCACGTTTTTAGTTGGTTCTTAAAAGTACCCAGCGAGGGTGCATTTTTTGCTCCCAAAAATGTATTAGGGATTATTTTCAGGGGATGTTTTATATTTTTTCATGTACAATTATTACATTTATTCCAATACAGTCATGTCACCTTCTTCTGGTGGCTGCACAATAGTGGAGGGTGGGGTTTCACTTAACTGGGGCTTATTTTTGGGGTAGGGCTTCTATTATGAGCATACCGAAAAATCATATTAGGGCTTATTTTCAGGTTAGGTCTTATTTTCAGGGAAACAGGGTTATTAATAGCTGGTTTTACCAAAAGAGGGACAGACTTCTGCCTACACTAATGACTATTTTCTTCCACGTAAATAAATGATTACCCCTGAATGTTGTTAGAAACAAATTATGTAATGTGTTTGCAAACAATGGTCTTCTGTGTACTGCTTCTGACTTGGTTAAATCCAGAATAAATGCTTCATCTTGTGCAAGCCCTAGTGTCAAACACGGCATGAGCTCACTGTCAAAATTTTTGTATAACCCTCTAAAATTTATATATTATGTCTTGTACATTTCTTATTAAGTATTTGTTTACCATAATGCAACCCCTCATATGCTACGAAACACAGGGAGATATATTTTACTACCTTCTGTGTGAGAATTAACTCCAGAGACGCATTTGCAACATCAGCAGGGTCTTCTGCTTGCTCAAGGGGGATATGCCCTTGCTTCCTCCCTCCTTCTTCACCTCCTGCAATACATCTCAGCCTGTTTTGACTCCCTCTCCAACTTCAGGAATGATGGTTCAAGGAGTACAGGGTGCTGAAATGAAAATGAAATAGCTACGTTTTGTGAATGGAACTCTTGTTATAAAAGATAGGATCCAAGCCAAGCTATTGATGAGATAATCTCTGCCATGCTGTGCTCATAGCATGCAGAGATCCACTGCACCCCAAGAGGTCTTTATGATGTAAATCTTCCCTTCCCCTCTCCACAGGTTTCACATACTTTTGAATAGTATGCACTAGCTAGTATGAGGGTCAAAACTGACCTCTAGACATCTTTCTTTAAAAGTCCATCTCTTTTTTAAAAATCATTTCCATCTTCACTCAATTTCTTACGCACTGTACAAAGCCTGTATTAATTCCAGTATTTTCTGAGTTGATTGCTAATAGTGCAGTATGGCTTTAAATGCCTTAACAAAATCCAAGTAGAGCAGGTTTACTGCATCCTTTATCCTAGGGGTTGGCAAAAAGTGGTACTTCAGATGTTGTTAGGTTGCAGCTTCCACCATCCCCGTGTGTGTACTGTTGGGAACTGTAATCCAGCAACATCCAGGATACTGCATTTTTCTTTGTTTATTCTATCTTAAGTACTTTTGCCCCACCTAGGTTGCAGCTTCCACCATCCCCGTGTGTGGACTCTAGGGAACTGTAATCCAGCAACATCCGGGATACTGCATTTTTCTTTGTTTATTTTATCTTAAGTACTTTTACCCCACCTTTCTCCTTAAAAAGGACCCAGGGCAGCTTAGAGTAAAAAGGACCCAAGGCAGCTTAGAGCATTAAAAGACAATATGTAAAGTTAAGAACTGTAAGTATACAGATACTAAAAAGGATCAAGTAAATATTACACTCAAAAATGTTTAACAAAAGCAACATCAAAACCACATCAAAGCAGTAAGGCACAACAATCTATGGATCAAGTAAATATTACACTCAAAAATGGTTAACAAAAGCAACATCAAGACCACATCAAAGCAGGAAGGCACAACAATCTATTTAAAAACCTCACTCTGGCAGCGGAGTCACTCATGGAAAGCTTTCCTGATGAGAAAGGTCTTTGCCTTTCAAGGACAACGATTTTTGTCTGGCCTTGCTTTGTCCAGTCACTTTCTTGGAAAGGAGATCAGATCTGTATAACTTTCATTAAGTGAGCAGAGGCTGTCTTGCAGTTATTTTACTGTCCTTTCCTTTTCTGTTAATATTGGCCCATTTTGTCTTTTTTATTTCACACAGTTGCCAGAACTGAGTCCCCTGCATACCTCACGCTGCCAGTCTGTTCAGGAGGTTTGGAGTTGACTCTGGTGCAGATCTGGAAGATTGTGAGGGTGCATGGAAAGAAAAGGAGCATTCCCTTATCGCTGTGGTAGTCTGCCCGTATAGTATTGGTTGTAGTCTGTTGTCTCAGCAATGTGTGCTGTGTTAGGGTTTTGTATTAATAGTTTTATGTTCAGCAAAACCTGTTCTCAGAACACTTTCTAATCTTGATGATTGCCAAGATTAGGTAGGCAGTTTGATTCTATGCATTTTGCAGAAAGACCTCCTGGTGAGTTCAACATGGGATTAATTCTTTTCTGTGTGTGCATAGAATTATGGCCTTAATCAATTTTATCTAAATTTTTGCATGCATTTAATACTTTAATTCCTTCATTTTAATGCAGCAATTATTCTGCTAATGAAACGTAATACTATAATTTCTTTATCTGAATTTTGAGGAATGAGAACAGCCAGTATACTTTTTTGTAAAAATCTTTACAATAATAAAGTGCTTCATAATAGGTCTGTGCAATTCAGTGGTTTTGTAGGAAATAATCTCAAAGTATCCAACATTAGCAAAAATCACAGCTCAACTAAAATTTAAATAGATTGCTTTAAATCTACTTCAGTTCAGTTTGATTTACTTAGTTGTAACATGAAAGCTTATCCTTGATGAACCCAGTATTTTTTCATCAAGTTACTTGAAAGAAATGGAGAATTCTGATTCATCTTGAGTTACTTTAGAAGGATACAAAAGTTATCTGGCATATTTATTATTGAATATTATTGAATATTATTTCTTCTTGCAACTCTGGATATAAAATTTGAGTTAAACATACAACATAGATAGATTTTCTTTTGACAATCTTCACCCCAGTCTTCCAAATGATGATTTCAAGCCAAGGAATGTGCTACAGGTTTCAAAGCTTGTGAGCAGGTTGCAGGCCAAGATCATTCAAGTTTTCTTTCTGCTTTTATTTAACTACAGTTTCCTTTTATACTTCAATTAGTAGGCTGTTGTTAAGAATGTTTCCAGCCCATGGTTTGCATGTTTGCTTCAAGTTATGGTTTCAAATTCTGACTTGGAAGCAAGGTTCTAATCACAGTTTCTTGAATGAGATTCTGTGGACAGTTATGGTTGGGGAAAAAAGGAAGTGAAGATGGCAGCCATTTATGATGGGGAGCAGGAGACATAATCCACCTAAACCTTCAAAACTTTGTTTCTAAGGAATAGTTTTTTGATATTGAAACTGAGCCAAAATCTTATTAAGCAGTCATTTTAAATTGAATGAAACTGTATTAACAGGCTGTTAATGTTATGCTGAAACATTATTCATTCATTTATTAAAGTGAATGCATTTCAGTTTTAGGAATGTATCGAATCAGAATAGGTTTTAACAACAACAAATACTTGTAGAAACTTGTTGTGAGGCTCAATATACATATATCTGTCTGTCTGTTTCAATCAACAGTATTACAGCCGCCACTGCAGGTTTCTCCTTTAGAGCTGGTATTTCAGTATAGTATGAGAACCATCAACTTGGGTGTTATAAGTGACAGCAATAACATAAAGGTAGGTCTATTACAGAAATGAGTACATTTCTTCAGTTCTTCTTCACTATTATTCTGTGGTCCAATTATGTTTTGTGCTCCACTCTGGTAGACTTCAGGCAAGAAAGGAGACTTTCACAATAGTGAGAACAGATTTTCTGCATGTGCCTTCACACAGCTTGCTGAACATAATCCTTTTAATTCTATAATTTATTTTACATTTCCTTTCTGCATGAGCAGTGTAAGAATACAATTTCTGAACATACAGTATGTAATAGAATAATAGTAAACCCTTACTTATAGTTTTACCATCCAAATAGACAGAGGAAAGGGTAGAAAATAGAGGATGAAGAAAAGTATTGGAAGAAAAGCGATTGGATGTATCTTTCAGACATAATGATGAATTATGAATAAGCCAGTGCAGACCTCTGCCACATACAGTTTTTTTGCCTCTCTTTCAGAACAGCTACAAGTACCTTCTCTTTCTTAGTGATTGTGTTTTGTCATCTTAACTATTGTTTATGAAGTTAAGTTTTCAATTAGCCATAATTAGACATTAGATATTTGTATTTGTCTCCCAGGGGAGACAAATACAAAAATCAGCACCACAGGTGCCTTAGCCATTTGGATCCTCCCCTATAGAAACAGCTGGTCCACTTACTGCTTGCCATGTGGTGCTCATAGCTGTCATCATTTTCAACACACTAATCATGGAAATAAGCCAGCTGGCGCTTCCCTGCCTCCTTGCACAGCTGACCATTCTGGTGAGGGGGTGGGATGACAAGGCTCACCACTCAGCTGCTGAGTGGCTTACTGTGCAGGGAGGTGTGGAAGTGTTTTCTAGGTTACTTCTGAGATTGGCTCATCACCAATGAGGATGGCCACTCATGCTGCATAGTGAGTGGTATGTGGACTGGCTGGTTCTGGGGAGAGGGTCCAAATGACCCAGGCACCACAGTCGCCTGGGCCATTTGTCTTCATTTCCCTGGGAGACAAACATGAGTATCCCATGTCTAGCCATAATTAAAATTATGTACATTTTTTTTGGGGGGGTAACATTAAATGGTGATAGGTGTAACATTAAATTGTGGCTATTCTAAAGTGGAATCAAAAGCTTTCAATCTCATAACAGAAGCTATGGATAGAGAGGGAAGATGTTCTGTTATAGACTTCAAAGTGGCTCTTATAAGAAAAAGGAATTACAGGGAGAGATAAGAAATTAGCTATCTAAAGAAATGTTGATATATCTATAAGGGCTTAAATAACGATCAAGGTTTCTTAGCATGCAACATACAGTTATAATCCAGTTTTTTGTAACATTGTCATACTTGATATACTCTTAACTTCTCCTTCAGAAAGAACTTTTAACATATGTGTTACAATCTGCTTGGCATACAGTATAAACGACAGATAAACCCTGTGGCTTTAAACAATTGCAATCTTGCTAGTGTAATTCATATGTCAACAATACTTTGTGACTTTATCTATTGTCTGTATCCTCCCCTAGTCATGACCCTTCAAGGGGATAGTGTAAATATACAGGATGCAGTATTATTATTATTATTTATTTTATTTATATCCCGCCTATCTAGCCAACTCAGGACCACTCTAGGCGGCTAGTATGAACACCCCCTGTCCCTGAAGAAGCACATTTTTATCTACAAAAGCTCACACCAAAATAATTTTGTTAGTCTTTAAAGTCCCACAATGTTTTACCCTTTTCTCCCTCTTCCTCCTTTCCCCCTTTTAGTTTTGTTAAGGTGAATTCTGCTAATGCCAGTGTTGCCTCAGTTAAAAAAAAATAAGGTAATGCAGAACTCTAAAATCTGGGGTAAAATTCAGCTGGAGATACTTTTGTAATTAACCCTAGCAGATTATACTTTAAAATGGTGTATTTATTTTGTATTGAAGAGATGATAATACAATGTAACATTTTTTTTAAAAAACAATACTTTTGCCTCCTCCAGAACAGTTTTGTAGGGCCAGGCTTCTATCTCCATCGTTAGCTAGCCATAGACAGCTTGATGAAAATAAGTAAATTCACATAGGAATATTTGTGTAAGATGCAGGATAGATGGTATGTTTTTCATTTGGGTTTCTAAAACCTTGGTCCTGACTCTCACATCCTATATCAATATTAGATACCCAGGTTTGCAAAGTGATGTCCACCAAGCAGTAGTTCTTAGTACTTAATTAAAAGGTTTTCTGGGTGTTACTATTTAGACTTTGCACATCAACCATGGTGGTATATAAGTGAATTGATTACTGATCACAGTAAATCTATTTGGAGTCTGCTCAAGACAACTGCAAAAGCATCTAGCATGTATTTGCTAGTAATATTAAATAGTCTTAAAACCTTACTGTAACAATATTGCCTGTTATTATTTTCAACAAGTGTGGGGAATCTGTGACTTTCTTCATCATGTTGAATGGCTGCTTTTATTATTAATCAGAGTGGCTGGAACAAATGGCCTTCCTCTAGAATATGTTATATACACATACAGTATATAAAGAATGTATAGAATATGCTTGACTTTGTGGATGAAACTTTGAATACATGTATCTCTAATGTTGGTTATTAAGTCCATCTTCTTACAGTTATGTTTATTTGTACTACAGTGTTGCACAATTTATGGATGTATATGAAAAGCAAATTAAAATGGTAAGATTATTTTTGACCGGAGATGGACTACAGTAATGATACTGACAGTATACCTGGCTTTCTCTACTTTTTTCAAATTATTTAACAGAAGTTGCATCTAAACAATATTTCAAAGAAACAGGTAAATTGGAGGCTTGATCTTGATGCTGCAGGCAAAGCAGTAGAGGATGGTATCTTCAAATTTAGTCTGCATACTGGAATTCTCTATCCTGGCCAATATACAGTTATTACTATATGCTTCTGTCCATGTAAGTATTTTAGTTTGCTGTAGACCATGTGTTTAGAACTAATTTTGTGTGCTTGAGCTTTAAAATATTTTGCAGAGTCTTCCATGTGAGGCAAAACTAATTTGTTTCTTATTAGATGAAAATTGAGAATGTTTGCTAGTCTGACTGAAATAAACACAGAATAGTTTCTTATCCATTTCTAATGTCACACAGTTTGGTACAGAAATATAAATATTTTAGGTCCATTATGTATGAACAAACATATGTCAGTGAATTTGACTTCACAAAAGTACACTGTGTACATCTTACTAATGAACTAGAGTCATGATCCGTTTGTCTTAGCTGGGGAGTCATGCCATAAAGCCACCTGAGACCAAATTCACCCTGATTCTGAAACAGAATGGGTAACTGTTAATGGTAAAAATGCATATTTTTAATTTGTATTCAAACAATGTGGTCTCTCTTTTTTTGAAGAACTCCAAGGCAACAATGACCATCTTAAAACAACTATTTATTCTTTCTCTACACATTGCGTTCTGCATCAGCCATTCCAAATCTAATATTTTTGTTTGCATAGTCTTCTTGACTTGCACCAGAAGTTATGGAAACTCTCTAATTCCTAATAATTTAGGAATTATTATTAATAAAAATCCAAACCATCTGCTGGAAAGAAATAATATATCTTTACTGAAATGGACTAAGCAAAGCTTTAAAAATGGGCTGTATTGAAATTGTTCCTTTTGGAAAAGTTGGCTGCTCATGTTCTCCGAAGCTTCTTGGTCTTCTTTTAGACAGTTCCTCTTGCCATACAGATTAGTACTGCTTGCAAATTTATTGAGGAAGGGTGCTGGGTGAGGTTCGATAAAGAAGACACAATTGGTAATGTGCATTAGTTGCAGAATATATGGATACAATAGCAAATTTCATTGCAATTCATATCAATTTTAAAAAAACTTATTAATAAAAAATCCAATAAAGTTTTGACTAACAGTTTTCAAAAAGGGACAATTGTGCTTGTTCAAATTTCAAAAAATAGTAATATGGGTGGGAAGATGAGGACAGTTAAGGAAAGCTAATGAAATCAGTCACAAATATGTTAAAAGAAATATTCCTAACTTTCAAGTTAAACAGAATCCTCTTCCGGAGTTTAAGTTGGGGAGAAATGAGGCCATTGGAGTTCTTGCTGTAACTATAAATTCTATAAAAGAGAACCATGATGCTAAAATGTATCTCTTGGTTTTACTCAGCTGTAATTGGGTTCGTCTTCTGCCGGAGGCGACCCCGAAAATTGCATGGGAAGGAGAGTCGGAGGCTGTTTGGTATTCTTAACATAGTCTCTTTTATTCAACATATTCAGTTCAACAGTCTCAAAAGGATCTAATAAACTCAACTCTGGAAGAACTCTGTAACTTTGGACCTTTATATCCGGTGTCAACAAATCACTTCTCACAGTGGGGCCGGTCCAAACCGCTCCTGTTCAGTGCAAACTGTCCCACAGCAAGGGTGTCTCACCCAGTCCCCTTCGCATGGTTGTTGGAGTAAAGAGGGACTGGGATGGATCACCCTCCTCCCCCCACGCTGATTGCGTGGATGCACCACCACAGTCCATTCTACTGACTCTAGGTCCTCTCCTCTTGCGTATGGGTCCTTCGGGTCTGGCAGCAAGCCTCCCCCAGTCCGAAGGTTGGGAAAGTCCTTCATTAACTTTACAAAGTTCTCTTGCCCATAGCCCAGCTCAGTCTGTACAGCCTGATCTTTCCTTTCTGGTTGTTCACCGCCCGTTAGGATTCTACAACTTCACGCGCTTTCCTCTCCTTTTATATCCTTCCCCCAGATGATTAGGTCCAACTCCTCCCCCTTCTCATCAGCTAAACAAACCTCCAGCGACCCTTTCCACTCCTCCCTCTCCTGCTCTGTCTCCACCAACACTCCCTCCACACTGCCACGGTTCTCCTCAGGGTTCTACGGAGGACGGCACACTGATGTTCTCTCTTTCACATCAGCACACTGAGCTTTGAGATAAGATTCTCAGAAAGTAAGAAACACCAAACATGGGCTAACCAAGATCTAACTGAGACACTATTCAGGTACTTCCAGCATTTAGAGATTTCCATGTGAAAAAATAATGACATTTACCTGTTCTATAGCAAGTTGTCATTTTCCTTCAAGAAGAGAGACCTTTCTCTTTTCTCGGCCTCTTCCTTATAATCTTCCCTCTTTTCTATTACTTTCAAAATTTCTTTACTTCAAGAAAAGCTGGGCAATGCAGATCCTGGAACAGGAAGAGAAACCACATTACGTATTATGAAATTCATTGATGACCCTGTTGCTTGACAATGACTTACTTTTTATTCGCGAAGGCTTTCACGGCCGGGATCTAATGGTTGTTGTGGGTTTTTTGGGCTCTTTGGCTATGTTCTGAAGGTTGTTCTTCCTAAAGTTTCACCAGTCTCTGTGGCCGGCATCTTCAGAGGACAGCACTCTGTGCTCCGGTGTAGTTTGCTTTGGAGTAGAGTATTTATGGCTGTGAGATAGGCTTTTGTCCTTTTCATGAGCTGGGTGATTAGTACTCCGGTGTAGTTTGCTTTGGAGTAGAGTATTTATGGCTGTGAGATAGGCTTTTGTCCTTTTCAAGAGCTGGGTGATTAGTGTGTCTTATTGTGGGTATATTGTTGTAATAAGGAGGAGAGATTATCTGTCACTGTGATTGATGGGTGTTTTTAGCTGCCCTTTTGTGTGTAGTGATCCACGGTCCTTGTGGGTGGATAGAGTTCATTGACCTTTTGCACACTGTATTTTTCAGAGCTGGGAGCCAAGTTTTGTTGAGTTTCAAACTTTCCTCTTTTTTGTTGAAGTTCTGCTGGTGCTTGTGGATTTCAATGGCTTCCTTGTGCAGTCTGACGTAATGATTGCTGGTGTTGTCCAGTATTTTGAAATAAAATTTCATGTCCAGCTTGTTTTAGGGCATGTTCAGCTACTGCAGATTTTTCTGGTTGTTTTAGTCTGCAGTGTCTCTCATCCAGTATACTCCTGCAGTGGTTAGGGCATCCCTTCTGTCCTTTGCTGACTATAACATTCGTTGTGTTTTTGTGGTGGCTTGAATACTGTTTGTTGGTTGTGTTTTTTCAAAACTTACTTTCCCTAACTCTCACACCTATTCTGGTACCTTTTAAGTGTTGGGCAAGACCATTTTATTCCCATAGACCTTCTAGAGGGTCTACATCTAGCGTATGCAGGAGGATACACTAGAGGAAAATGATTCCTGAGAAGAAAGGGTCTTCTTGACTTAGAACTGTTCCTCTTAAGGAGACTAGTGGGCCAAATGCCTGCAAGCTAAGCTTTGGGTGGGATCCAGTATCTCAGGTGTATAAACTTCAGCTTGAGACTGGAAGATTGCTGAAGGCAATGTATTTTCTGCTTTCTAATAGTGCATTCTGTTTGCCCTAATCCTTATTGCTGACTGCTTGTTGAGTGTGACATTTGGATTAGCTTGTCTATGCTTCTTGGACTTTCCCTGTTTAGTGTGCTGACTATTTTGCTTGAGATCTTCCACATATGGTTTACCTTTACTGATTACTAATACTGTGCTTGTTAGACCTCTGCCTATTGCTATATGTGTCCCACCTTGCAAAGACTTGGCCTGTCGACCAGCTGCCTGGGAGCAGGACAGTCTCACAGACTGCATTTAATATAGCATAATGCAATGAAAGATTTTATGGGTCTACTCATACTAAGTTTGTGATATGGATGCAGGTAAATGCAATTTTGTAGAGGTATGGTTGTTGCTACAGTTTCTTTCCAAACTTCTGAAACCTTGCTTATCATGTGTCTGTAGAATGTTTGATAAAGTTATTTCAAAGTGAAAGAGGGTCTTAATATGTTCCCTGCTTCCTTTTAACATTTTCTATTACTTTAACTTGGAAAGGTCAATAATGAAAAGTGCTAGGAATAGAATGGAAGATAAAACTGCAAGAGGCACAGTGACTAGGAGCCGACGGTGTTCTGTCAAAGCAGTGTAAAGAAGTGAACTGTAAAATCGTACATTAGATTGCTTTAAAATAATACCAATTCTTTTACTAGCCTACCTGCTGATAAATATTATACCCTGTTTTCTCATTGTTTCCTATTTTGCAATTTATGTGTAAATATCAATACACCATCTAAAGTTCTAAAAATGAAATGAATTAATGAATGCTGATAATATGTTGTGTTAAATTGGAAAGGGGATCACCTTTTATAAAACCTTCTTGCTTAACTTCATTGAAGCAATTTTCACAAAACACAGGGACTATGTACAAGTCTGTGACAAAAATCCTGTTTGTGGTTTACATGTGCATGCTATGTTTCATAACTCAATGTGTGCATTGCTGCTAACCTATGAGGTTCTGGTCATATTACTAGGTGTGCTTCTCTTGTACAGTTGGGGATGTATTTGTGTGCATTACACAATCTAATCTACTGATGCATAAGTCACCAAAATGGTTCTGGTTTATGTCAAATATAAGTGATCATTAATGATAATAATTTTGTTGTAATATATGACCTACATATGAAGACAAATTTTGTAAACTGTATTAATGATTTGTTGAAAATAAGATAATTGTTGGTAAATCAAGTAAGTTAACATTTTAAAACTTGTGGCTTAAACTATATGCACAAAAATGGCTTCACAAAATAAAGAGTGCCTTAAATCACATACCTTTTCTAAATAAGCGAAGTATAACCCTCCTGGAGGTCGCCACTTATGGCGCAACTTTTAAATTTATAAACCGGGCTGTAAAGTTCCAATTTTTGCATTTGTATTTTAGTCTAATTTATGCAGCATCATGGGTTCATATTGTTGCCACCCTTATGGTGCACTAGCTAGCTAAAATGGCTGGGGGCTGCCTGAGTGTACACTAAACTAGTGGAGGTTGTGCTGAATCTAAACTCCTTACGCCCTAGAGATGCTGGAAATTACTTAGGACTACGCTGACCCAGACTTTCTGCCATCATAGGCTTTGTGTCAGTCTGGGTTGAATAGGGTTTGGATATTGTGAAATTCAGCTTGTTCCCCACGCTATTTCTCCTTCACACATACACCCTTTTAAACTCTCTGCTAGCTGATCTCAGCCAGGACGGTAATTGTGCCAGCAGATCTAGTTATGTTGGCAAAGCTTTGGTTTGCTATTGACTGATGACGACTCTATCACAAGGCCTACTGATAGCTGTTGAGTTAAAGCATAGTCATATATGTAGCCCACAGCGCCAAGGTCTCTAACAGAAGACTAAGAGAAAATATTTGGGACGTAATTCGTGCTGTGGATTTGTAATGTTACACATGACTTGGTTACTGAATTTTGCTCCGGAGGACTGTACGAGTTAGCGAATTTTTAACCATCTGTAATTTGCTGTCAAATAATTTTGTAGAAAAGTCTCTAGTCAGAAATACTAACAGTTCTGAAAGCCAGTTCTCATTCTTTAGCGTAGTTTTCAAAAGAAATTTGTAGGTTTCATTTTGAAGTATCCAATCTAGTCACTGACCTAAAAAGAAATACTTCACTGGTGGCAATACATATAATATAACATTTTAATAACATTTTTCTCCAGGTTGGCCTGGGGAATACACAGCTCAAGTGCCTGTGTTTCTGAACAATGAGAAGTCTGTTTACAGAACAGTGAGTTTATCTGGGGCTCTGAAGTCACCCAAGATCACCTTTGAACCACAGCTATTGATACTGACTCCTGTTCCTCTCAATGTGAAAACAGGAGCGAATGTCTGTATAATCCCCCATGATTACTTAAGGTAAATCCTTCTCCCGAATTAGCATTTATATTTCAGCAAATAATGTTTTTGGCAGAAGATATTATTTCCTCTATACTCTTTCAAAAATATTAATTTTTGCTGCTGATAATTTTAAAAAAAGAGCAATTGCCAAAATTACAGAAGTTGTACCATAATGGGTTACTGAGAGATCATGTACCATAAGGGGCATGAGAGATCAAAGGGCATGACATAGCCATCCCTGATCCTTGAAAAGCCACTCCTGCAACCCCCACACTAAAAATGTTTTTCTTACAAAAATTGGGGGGAAGGGGCAGCTGTTAACCAAAAAGGAAAAAAAAACATTGTATTCTTTGTGTGCACATATGTATATACGTCTATAGTGCGCTCTCTCTATGTAAATGCATGAATGCTTTGGAGAAACATAGGAGCACCAAGGTTTCAGGGGAGGCTCAAAACAGGGGGATGTGGCCCCCCAGATTTTTTTGTACCAACATTTTTTTTTCAAAAACTAAAAAAATCAGAAGGGGAGTGGGGAATGCAATGGGGCCTCAGGAATGCTAGGAGTACATTTAGTCCCTGGGAACCCACATATTGTCCACAGGCCACCTGTTATCTATGCTGGGTTGTCTATATTAAAAAAAATACAATTTCTTCAGTTTTCTGATAATCACTGTCTGGAAACCTGAGTTTATTTTTAAACATTGAAATACCTAGTATGTATTTATAGTTAATACTAAGGTCATGGTTGCAGAGGATCTACTCAGGCATAAATAAATCATTTGAGGTGCTGTAGCACATAGACCGGACACTAATCCTTGCATTAATACCTGTCCTGTACTATTTAACGCCAACCCCAGGTGCACTTTTGCATGGCTTATCTCTGACACTCTGGCCAAAATCCTGTTGCTTAGCATAGTAAAAAATCACACTAAAGTAGACCGATTGGAGGAACTGGGATTTAGTATGTCAACTCCTCCAAGAGTGCCATGGGTGTGCTTTAACTATGACTTACTATGGTAAAGTAAGTTGCAGTTGGGGTAAGCCCATTTGAATCAATGGAACCCGCAGAGGAGCTGACTCACAAAATTGTCATTGAGTCAATAGACCAACTGTAATGTGATTTACTTTGCTAAGCAACAGGATTTTGCTCAATATGTCAATGGTGATTAACTGTGGTTCTCCAGAGGTTTTTGCTTACAACTATTACGAGTCTTAGTTATTACAGTATGTGGGTTAATGGGAGTTAACAATGCATAAAAGATCTAGAGGGCAGTACTGCTCTAGAAGCAAGATTGGAAATGGGTGAGCAGAAAAGAGTTGATCTTCTAGGTCCCTTAGCACACTTCTTGATCTATTGTCTTTTATCTGGACACAGCATTGAACCTACAGTTCGCTTTCATAAGGAGGATTTTAAGCCTTTTCAGTGCCAGTAGCACTCAACTGAATGACAGAACCTCGTTGCATTGCCTATGATGCTGCTTTGGCTGCAAAAGCCTGAACTTAGATTGAGGTTATAGAAGTTCGTATAGAAGCAGTGCCCATAATAACCGAAGTGTATCCATCAAGGATTTTATAGCTTTTTGCCAGTTACACTATTCCTTATATTTTTTGTAATAAAGACGTCAAGAAACCATTGAACTAGTTCTGCAGATTCTTTAAAGGAAATTTTAACTTGCGTTTTTTGAATAACCATTCTGTTTGCTGCATGGCAAACATGTTTTGAAGCTGAAAGGAAGTTTTATGATATGGTATGTGGTTGTGCCATTCATTGAGCATGTTTGGGCCAATAACATGGCTAAAAGCTAAATGCTGTTTTTGGTGTTGTGCTAAAGATACAACTATTAAATGGAACAAGGGCTAATGCTTGCTGCTGTATAAATAGTCCCAATAAAGAAATATCCAATATCAGCATGAAGTTACTACTGTGTAAAGTAGATTTATTGCAAATTTTTAATATTCACAAAGTAGAATAGTGTAAAAGTAGAAAACTTTGAAAATAATGAGGTTATATGTAACATGTACACTTTGTTTAAATTATGTATAAATTCCTAATAAAAAGTATTTGGTAAAGCTAAAGTATTAGCTGTGAAAATATCTTTTCAGGTGACAACTAGTTAAAAAAAATACTGCCCACAAACAGTTATCTGAAAACATATATTATTAAGTTGATCATTTTGGAATATGTATTTTACTGATTTGATTTTGCAGATCATCGTCGTTACAAGTTGATATCCCTGAGATAGACAATGATGGTGAGGATGAGGAAGAGAGTAATCCCTTAACAGTGGACTTTCCCAATGGCAATGAAATTAAAATATCAAGAGAAGGAAACCGTATTGGATTCACCTGCTGTGTTAATTTCAGTTCCTCAAAGCCATTATCCTTTTTGAAAAACCTGTTCTTCATTGATGATGAAAAAAACAGGTAATCTGCTAAATTTGTTTTTGGTGTTGTGCTAAAGATACAAATTAGCAGGGGAAAAAATGTCCAGAAAATACTTCATTTGAAAATTATTTAACTTAATTATGATAATACCAAATCTTAATATTTGACAATAGCAAATAGTAGTATTTAAATCATGCTGCTGCTCTGTGCAAATTCTGTAGAATTCAGTGATGGCCTTAAGATTTTGGTGGCTTACAGGCAAATATACTCGCAGGATATAATTCAGCTGGAAGAATGGAGAATGGATATTAGCATTTTTCCATGAGTTTTCCCTCACTTTACCACTCCTTTGAGGCAATGGGACCAAAGACAAACAAGCTGTGCTTTCCTGAAGATGTTGGGAACCTAGGTCAGGCACAGTCCAACACAGATGTAAGCAAAGGGTGGTCCACCATCTGGTCTGTGGCCTAGTTTTCTGGGATCCTTTGAGGACCGTAATGATAGCAAACAAATGCAAGAGGGGAAAAATGAAAATAAAACTAGAAAGGGGTAGAAGTCCATTTCTTGGTTTGAAAAGTTGGTACGTTTTTCAGTATAGCCTGTTTAGGAGGTGCCTCAGTTCTACTACCCCCCATTTATTGGCTGGGGGGTAGTTCTTGGATGGGGGAATGGGCGAAGAAGGGGAACTTGATTGGACCAGGGGCTGCAAAAACAGACATGGCAGCTACATGTATCAAGGTAAAATATTAGACACTTGAAGGAAGTTTTCAGAGCACTATTAGATGTGACAGTGGGCTAATATTTCCCTCTGGTTGCATAAATTTCAGTGTGAGATGAGATAACTATGTCAGTCATACCAAAGTTCATGTGGGTATCAAAGTATAAACAGTTTCATTGTTTAAATACCTCATCTCTCCTCAGAGTATAAGAATAAGCCATTGTTTTCACTCATTAAGAATTAGGTTTTTCTGTAGACACTCACATCTATGACATCAGTTTGACAAATGTTGTTTAGCATAATACATTGCATTAGAGTCTGCTAATTATATCAGTGGGGAATTTACTGAGGCACCTCATCCATAAGTTTCATTGATTCAAATGGGCCTACTCTAGCTGTGACAATAGAGTATAGTAAGTAGAAGTTAGTAGTGTGGCCTTCCACATGTTTTTTCTATCACTTCCACAGTTGCAAAATCTTGTTTGTTTGTTCATAACTAAAGAAAACCTTAATAACACAAAACCACATAACAATATAGTAATGCATCATGTGCTCCTTTCTACTGGGACTATCTGGAGATATAATTATTTTCCCTGCATTTATGGAGCCCCATTTATTGTTGTTTAGTTGTTAAGCTGTGTCCAACTCTTTGTGACCCCATGGACCGGAGCACGCCAGGCTCTCCTGTCTTCCACTGCCTCCCGGAGTTTGGTCAAATTCATGTTGGTAGCTTCAGTGACACTGTACAACCATCTTGATGGAGCCCCATACCCCTACCAAAACTGCCTTAATTCTTGCAAAGGCACACAACACAAAGTTGAGAACATTTCCTCAAATATCGATAAAAACATTTTTATTTACCTTATCCTTATTTTGTTTAATATTATATAGCAATTCATCATTAATAACTATATTCCATATTTATTCATACCATTTATTTAATTGAAAACCAATTCAATAATTCCAGTTTCTTGCTATTTTGACTTTTACTGCTGTTAAGAAATTTGAAATTAATTATTTCATTGCCTAACTCAATTGCTTTCTATCAAATATTCATAAGAGAGTTATCTTAAGGCAAACTTCTACATTTAACTTAATAATTTCATTTATTTCATTGAAGACCACTTCCAGAATTTAAATATATTTTCACATTCCCACTATATTTAGAAATGTTTATTAGTCATAGTTTAAAGACTGTGAAGGCACGTGTGTGCATGCATGTGTGCATGAATGTGTTCATGTGCATGGGGATACACACACACAAAGAGAAAGAGAGAGAGAGAGAGAGACTGTGAAGGTACATATTCTTAGAAAACATAAAGTGCAGGGGATGCAATTGTTTTGGATATGTCTATTTTTAATGAGTTCAAAGGTGTAATACATTGATTTGACTCTATACCTGCAGTACCCTGTTCTTTTACAGCTTCATTATTGATTTAGTTACGTTTCTATATGCAAAGCACATAAAGGGGACTTCCTTTACATGTTCACCGTTTCTCTTTCTGCCATACTGAAGGGGGAAGTATTTATGTGCAAGATGTTAGGCTGTATGCATTACAATGTACAGAGTTAGATTTGACATCATAACACAAAAGAAACTGAGACTGTTAATTGAAAAATGCCTCTGTTGTCTAAGAAATAGTGAACTATAATTTCAGTTAAAATGATTGCGTTTTTAGATTCTCACTTCAGGTGTGTGCAACAGCAGACAATTGTCTCCTTACTGTGTACCCCTACTTGGCTTGCCACCTAACTGACCAACAAATTTTCCTGAGAAATGGTGAGCATGGAATTTTTTGCCTGTTTGTAGTTTGCTGTAATTTCATTGTAAATGGTAGCTCACCACTCATTGTTATGTATAACTTGTACTGGGATTTGGTTTTAGATTGTCTCAGTCCACCAAACTCAGATTACTACAAATTTATGCTTTGAGTTGTTGGGAAGGAGCAGAAGTGAAAATTTCATGTATCTAAAAAGACAGTCATGTGAAAAAAGAAAGCACACACTCTTTGAGTTCTATGGTTTTATGTATCAGGACATAATAAAAACCATCTGGTCCTTACAAGGTTGAAAATTAGGTAAACACAAAGTCGGATGAACAACAACACATGACATATTACAGTGTGTCATGATTTATTTTACAAAAATAAAGCCAAAGTGGGGAAGCCATGTGCGAAAAACTAAGTACACTCTTACTGCTTCCCTATGAATTAAGAGGCTAAGTAGCAGCTAGGTGCTGATAACCAAATACCCTTGAGTAATTGATCATCAGCAAATGCAACCACCTCTATAAAAACTGAATCTTTAACAGTTTGCAGGTCTGAAGCATTCAGGTATGTGTTAGCACAATGTTAAGGAGGAAACACATCAGCATAGTAAAGAAGCAATTGTTGCTGCCCATCAATCTGGTAAAGGTTAGAAGGCCATTTCCAAATAATTTAAAGTCCATCATTCTACAGTGAAGAAGATTATTCACAAGTGGAAAACATTCAAGACAGTTGCTAATCTTCCCAGAAGTGGACATACAAACAAATTCACCCCAAGGTCAGACTGTGCAATGCTCAATTACATCTCAGACTCTGCAGGCCTCAGCCTGTTAAATGTTAAAGTTCATGACAGTACAATTAGAAAAAGACTGAACGAGTATGGTTTGTTTGGAAGGATTTCCAGGCTAAAGCCTCTTTTCTCTAAAAAGAACATGGCAGCATGGCTTAAATTTGCCAAGTTGCATCTGGACAAACCACAAGACTTCTGGAACAATGTCCTTTGGACAGACAAGATCAACGTTGGAGATGTTTGGCCATAATGCACATAGTTTCACTTGCGTTTGGTGAAAACCAAACACAGCATCTCAGCACAAACACCTCATACCAACTGCCAAGCACGGTGGTGGAGGAGTGATGATTTTGGCTTGTTTTGCAGCCCCAGGACCTGGGTACCTTGCAGTCATTGAGTCAACCATAAACTCCTCTGTATACCAAAGTATTTTGGAGTCAAATGTGAGGCCATTTGTCTGACAGCTAAAGCTTGGCTGAAACTGCACCATTCAACGGGACAAAGATCCCAAGCACATCAGCAAATCTACAACGGAATGGCTGAAAAAACAAAAGAATCATGGTGTTGCAATGGCCCAGCCAAAGTCTGGGCCTCAACCTGATTGAAATGCTATGGTGGGGCCATGAGAGAGCTGTGCATAAACAAATGCCTGCAAACCTCTATGAAGTGAAGCAACATTTTGAAGAAGAGTGGCCCAAAATTCCTCCACAATGATGTGAGAGACTGATAAAAGTCATACAGAAAACAATTACTTCAAGTTATTGCTGGTAAAGGTGATTCTACAAGCTACTGAATCATAAGGTATACTTAGTTTTTCTCACATGGCTTCCCCGTTTTGGCTTTATTTTTGTTTAATAAATCATGACACGGTGTGATATGTCATGTGTTGTTGTTTATCTGAGGTTGTATTTACCTATTTTTCAGACCTGCTAAGGACCAGATGATTTTTATGGTGTCCTGAGATGTAAAACCTTAGAATTCAAAGAGAGTGTACTTTCTTTTTCACACAACAGTATAATTGGAAACCAAAAAGTAATGACGAGGGGCATTAAGACATAGGTAGGTGAAGGAGGCAAGTAAGAAGGTGAAGAGAAGATGAAATAAAGTTTTAAAAAAAGAGAGAATAACTTTGCAATAAATGATGTCTGGAAGGGATATTAGATCATATATTTCTGATGGCAAGAATAATTAGTCGATTAAAGTACTTATTGGGAATGTTAGCAATAATAGTTTGCATGTTGCATTGGCCTGTATAAAACATGACAACATCACACAGCTTTTATAGGTCCCCCGTTACTTTTATAGTCTACCATATCAGCTGTATTTACTATATTTTTAGACTTTTGGTTTAAGATCCCTACCCTCTAGAGATAACATCTGATGTGATCCAATGTCCAAAACTTGTAACTTGTTTTACTGATATCTATTAACACCAGTTATGTGAAGAATATCTATGTGGATTTTTAACTAGAGATATGAAAAGTTGGGGTTTTTGTATTACTGTTCCCAGAATCTTCTAGCCAGCTCTACTAGTAGCAATGCTTGCTTATATTTTCTAAGAATCATAGTCCAAAAATTCTCATTTTCTGTGTTTGATATATTTGTTTATCGGTATTTAGTTATCTGGAAATACAGACAGTAGTTAGCCGGGAAAATAAAAATGAGGTGTTCGTTCACTGTAGATAGTAATGTGAAACATGTACAGTACATCTTCTGTTTCTATTTTAATCAAATGTACAGAATCTGCTGAGATAATTTATAACACTGCAGACTCTTTGCAACGTCCATGCTATGTTCCTGGATCATGTTCACAAATATCATCCAGTACCTTTGACACAATTACCAACTCTGCATATGAAACTTCTGTTGCAGGTATGATGACTAGGAATATTTGTTTAAGGAAGCTGAAATTTTCAGGGGTTACCTGAAGGTATTCAATTTTCTTGTGTTCAGAGGTTTCCTGTATAGTTTTTCTATCTAGATTTCTATAAGTCCTAAGAATTAAAGGCAGGTAGATATGTTACAGAATCCATTTTATACAACAAACAAAACTGAATGAGCTAGATTGATAAGTTTGTATGTTTCTTCCAAGACATTGCACAATAAGTATTAATTTCTTGGAGGAGTATTAGCAAAGACCAATTTGAATTTTACTGCTCTCGTAAGATTCACTATTGTTTCCTGCTACTCTTTGACGTAAGGAAGGTGTTTCCCAAAGACGGAATGGGGAATAAGCAGCCATTTTTCCTAGTAAATGTAATATATTAACCTGGAGTATGAAGATATGACTTTTGTTTGATTTGATATGATTGCTAGTGATTTGTTCGGCGTAGAGACCAAAGAAATTTCTCTTCAGGTTGTATAGACATGTCGAAAGGGCTTGTTTTCCTTTTCAGCAAATGTCTGTGAAAGGAAGGTAATACTTTGCTGCTTAATTGTTTGCTAGAAGGAGCCATAATTACAACTAAATCCAGTTATTTTTGTACAGAATTGGAAAAGACACTTGATAATGAAAGGATAAAGAAAAGTGAATCTTTTGGTGACAGTGGACGAATTAGGAGCAAATGTGAACAGTCATTTTTTCCAGCAGAAGGCACAGGGGAATATACCTTTTTCCAGAAAGTAATTACAGCAGTTCAGAAGTGGTTTTCTCTCTTCGGTTGGTCTAAAGGACCAAATCCTATTTCCATCCCTCATTCTCTAAGACGGTATGAGTTGATTGTTTTCTCAGACCATTTAAAAAACTTGAATGTCTTATTAATTTGAGTAACTGTTTTACTTAAACATTTGCAGTGAGATTTTACTGTTGATATGGGGTAGGCCATGGCAATGCAAAATAAGATTATGCTTACTGTAATTTGGTAGCGGATAGGTTCTTATACATTATGTCTCTTTAAAATCTGAAGAGTCTTGTAAATAGGGCAAGAATAGATTTGACCTCCACTTCTTATGTTAACTGAAGATACTAGAATCAGTTAACTTATCAGTCAACAACAAATTGGTGTTTTCACAATCTGAGTAGCTCCATACTCACTTTTCATTTGATCTGAAAATGCATCCCAAATGCACTGCATTCTTTTTGTTTGTTTAAGTTTTCCTCTAGAGTAGTGGTTCTCAACCTTGGGGTAACCCAGGTGTTCTTGGATTGCAACACCTAGAAACCTTCAGCGCTAGCTCTCCTAGCTGGGGTTTCTGAGAGTTGCTGTTGCGATCTCTTCTGAATCCCCTACCCCCCTGGCCTTCATAAGGTTCTCGCTCTTCCTCCTTCTTCGCTGCCACCAGATATTAATGCTTTAATATCATTTAAGCATTGAGACTCGTGTGTAATCAAAACGTAAGTCTTTTATTTAATCAGGGAATTTGATAATCAATAAACACTCATGGAGTAAATTACAGGGTGCAAATCACTTATATTTGAATCAGTTAGGATATTACTACAAAACTTTTTTAACCCTCTGTTACAATCCATCCTATTACAGATCTCTAACTCACTCTTCAATCACTTTTAAGCTCCACACAGTCTCTCTCCCTCTCAGACTCCATCCACCAGTCTTTATATCCAGCTCCCTCCCCCCGTCTCTGCCTTCCATTCACTCATTGGCTCCTGCGTCAATGTTCTGTCGTGATGGGCAGGTGAGGTCAGGGCTGTTCACTACAGTTGCTGCCCAAGAACACCTGAATTACCCAAAGCTGCGAACCACAACTCTAGGGTGCAATTTCAAGAAGGTTAGATCCTTTTATAGAAGTTATGTAAAATAGCTTAATAGAAGCTCTAGTAAAAACTCAGATATAAATCTTATGTATATACATTGGAATTTACTGTGATGAGAACTCTGGTAGGGAAAATACATTGTATTATTAGTATACAATAAAGAACCGTAGTTTCTGTGATTGTCTTGCTAGCCCAAATGTAGACATGCATTTCTGATAGCTTAAAATTGTCAAGGGGAACCTTAGGAGGTGCCAAAGAAAGGAATTCAAGCTGATTAGTCAATAGACTTGGAGGGTTTTGACCTACATCCTCCAGGTTACTACTGGGAAGTAGGGCTTAACCAAGACATTTTGTTCTCTGGGGCAAAACATGCAGAGATAAACTGGACTGGCAGCTGAATTTTACTTTAGTAGAGGCAACTGACAGTGTCTTCCACTACACACCACACCATATTACCACAAGGCAGCAAGCTAGTTCAGAGGGGTGTAGGACAGGCTATATTCTGCACACAACCTTGTAGATGTAAATGGTTCTTGTGCTGCTGGTGCTTCCCAACATGTCCTGTCCAAGGTAGTTTCCTTATTCTTTCCAATGGTTACGCAGGCCATAATAGGAAGTAAGATATGCAAACTGGGGGCATACAATTGCCTGGACACATTTTGCTGAGATCTACAATATTTCCAGAAAAGGGACAGGAGAAAGGTTGGCCTTATTATGTAGGCAATCTCTGAAATGAAATAAAATATTTTCAGGTGCCGCCCAGAGACCTCTGGGTAGTGTGGGCGGCATATAAATTGAATAAAATAAATAAATAAATAAATAAATAACAAGTAACATAATAAAAAGGTACATATTATAAACTTTGTATATGTACATTAATTATATCTATTTTCTCTAGTTATTCTACTCTTATATTTTGACTAGTAAATGCTCTAAAAGGCAGTTACTTTTTTTAGTACACAAGTAGCAAATTTTATTTATATAACAGAAAATACAACTGAGAATGTTTATGTGATAATTACCTATCAAAGAGTTTGAAGAAGCAATCCTGTATCTATCCCACTGAACAGAGTTGGACATTCTTGTGAATAGATTTAAAATTGTGATATGCAACCACGTGTTTTAATCTGACCACAGTGGCCATTTAATATATTCTAATTTTTTAATTCTCTGGGCTGTAGATTGTACAAGATTAAAATAAAGAAGCTAGCACTGATATTTAAAGCAGTAGTTTGTTGGCTTAAAGTCTGGTAAAACATATACAGTGGTGCCTCGCTTAATGAGCACCTCGGTTAATGACGGATCCACATGGCAACGGATTTTTTGCGATCGCAAAAGCGATGTTTTTAATGGTAAAACATCGCTTTGCGATGATCGGCAAGCGTTTCGCTTACCAATTTTTGCATAGCAATGTTTTAAAAACAGCTGATCGGTGGTTCCAAAATGGCCGCCAGAAAAAATGGCTGCCTGCTGTGTTTTCGCGCTGATTCCTAGCATACCGGGCAGCGAAAATGGCGGCCGTATGGAGGATTTTCGCATAATGGTGAGTTTTAAGCCCATAGGAACGCATTAAACTGGGCTTTTTCTTTTCGCATAGCGACAAATCCGGATAGCGACGATTTTTCCGGAACGGATTATCGTCGCTATGCGGGGCACCACTGTATGTGTAAATATTATATCCATGGCCCCAGAGTTCCATTTCTAAATAAGTGTGGGGCTCATGTGTTTAATGTGAGCCAATGTGATGTAGTGGGTAAAATACAGTGGTGCCTCATATAGCGATCGCTCCGTATAGCAATGAAATCACTTTGTGATGGACTTTTTGCCATCGCAAGAGCGAACGCTTTGTGATGGCCCCTATGGGGAAAATTCGCTTTGCGATGATCGCGGGGAAGCGATCATCGCAAAGCCCCCATTTTTGGCCAGCTGATCAGCAGTTCCAAAATGGCCGCCCACTGTTTTGCCTCGCTTTAGAGGCACTGAAAATGGCCACCGCAATGGAGGATTTTCGCATAAGGTTAGTTTTTAAGCCGATAGGAACGCATTAAACGCGTTGTAATGCGTTTCTATGGACTTTTAAAAATCGCTTAGTGATGAAATCACTTAGCAGCGATTTTTGCTGCACCAATTAACATCGCTAAGCGAGGCACCACTGTATCAGAGTAGGACTCAGCAGAAATGGATTCACACCTCCTTTTGGCTACAATAACACATTGGAGGATGGCAATGGGAAACTACTCCTTGAACATTTCACGTACTTTAGAAAACATACTACAGTCACCTCAGGTTGGAAGTGTCTCAATGGCACATAATAAAATGCATCTCATAGTTGGATCTCCACATTCATTAATTAGTTCTGCACAGCAATTTGCATAATAATGTTCGTAATATTAGCTTGCTTTTGACAGTGATGTGACAGTGACATTTTTATTCTCTGATCCCTGCCTAGAGATGTATGTAAAATTCAGATGACATCATCTGATGAAAAGCTTAAATTAAACTTTAGTAAAGATATCAAGACCATTTATGACATGCTGCTCCATCTGAGTGGCCAATTACTACCTGGAATTAGTTCAAGCCAGTCCTTGCCATTTGATCCCATTCAGCGAGTGGTACAGCTCCATTGGCAACATGCTACAATGATCACCTTTCTCAAGTAAGTGTTTTCAAAGTATTTTAACTGTTATGACTTGTCCAGAGTTTTTTCTGAAGTAGTTTAAAAGCTTTTTCAGATTAATATTTGCCCTATTGCAGCAGTTTCTTGTACTGACATAACCTATTACATTTTACCATTTTCGCTAATCAAAGAACATCAGATTGACAAGGATTTGCAACATACTTCATACACAGTTAAACAATTTTGGATTCTTATTGTTTTATTTAAGTCTTGCATGATTTTTTCAGTTAATATTAATAACAAAGAATCCTACTGCGTTTTTGTGTGATGCAAGTTTTCAGAACTGCATCTGAAGAAGTGGGCTGTAGTCTATGAATGCTTATGCCACATAAAACTTTTTAATCTTAAAGAAGCTAAAGGTCTCTGCTTTTTTTTTTTTTTTGGCTACAACAGGCTAATGTGGCTACCTCCTTGAAATGTTAATATTAATGGCTGTCCAGTGTTGTAGTAATGTATTTTATTAATCAAATACTGGAAAACAGTAATGTTGCTTAGTGAACTCCATAATTTTCTTTTATTTCCCCCTTGATGGCATTTTGTAACACTAATTATGATGCTGGATCAATAGGAGGAGTATCATTTAATAACACTGGTTGAAATCCGTGGCAGGTCATAACTAGACTAGGTCCACTGAATCAGTGGGGATTTGGTGAATCAACCTCTCCATATGTTGCATTTATTCAATGAACTTACGCTAGTTGTGACTTACTACTGGATTTCAATCACAATATCGTTTTCAGAATGAACTATTTTTAAGAGTATTGCAATGAATTCTTTTAACTCTTAGTCCTGATTACATTATTATCATTACATTACATTTTTGATTACATTACTATTATGATTACATTTTGATAATTTTTCTGGAAAAATAAAAAATTTAATAATGTATTGGTTGATATTTAGTTATTTACATATCTAATTTATATATCACCCCATTAGTAGACATGCTACATTATATGGTTTACACAGGGTTAAAAACACATAAACTCGCAGTACACCAGAATAACAAAAAATATGAAAATAATATAGCAATAGAACATACAATAGTTATAACCATAAATTATAAATAACTCAATGAAAAATTTAAAATTGATTAAAACATAAAGAAAATCCCAGAATTATTGACAGCACCCAGGAGATTCAATAGATAAAGGCAGCTTTAAATAATTCAGTTTTTACTGTCTTTCTAAATGCAAGGAGGAAAAGAGCCTGACATATCTCTGTTGGAATTTTATTCCAGAGGTTAGGGGCTACATTTGAAAAGGTATGATTCCTTGTATTCAAGGATTTTGGCCTCCCTCAGTGTAGCAACTTTTGACAGCATGGCTTGAGAGCACTGGGTGGGCTGGCTGGATGATTTTTGTGTGAGACTTTCTAGCAAGTATTAAAGACCTAAATTATTAAGGGCCTTATAGAACTCAACCAGCACCTTGAATTGAGCATGGAAACCAACAGGAAGCCAGGGAAGATGCCCGACTGTCCATGGCCCCCAACGGTTTTTGTGTGACATAAGGGATCCCCATGGGACCCTTGGAGCAAAATTGAAAATGTTAATGCATTAAAAACCACTGCAGCTGATGATGCCATCAGCCTTTTGTGGTGTAAAGTTATACAACAGAATTTTGGCTGCTGTATTTGCATAAAATGTGCACAGCCTTTCCTACTCAAGTATAGCTTGCCCATATGGTGGTGCAGTAGTTATAGAAGATTTATAGAAAATAGGATGATTTGGTCAAGATCCTGGGATCCTGGTTTGATTTGAGTGCGGTTCCCCTTCCAGCCATTGCTACTTGGAATCAGGAAACATTGCCTAGAACAGAGAGCTAATATGTTTCCTGAAACTAGCAGAGCCCACATGGAGTTTTCATCATGAAATAATTTTCCCCCCATATACCTTTTCCCTCTGTTTCTCTAGAGAAGTAAAAGCTCCATGTGAGTGGATATGCAGACTTTGTACAGTGCAGTTAATAAATACACATATTAATTTGCACTTTATTTTGGCCTGGCTTTTGAACTGGCTGTTCATTATTGTCTATACTCATATTTATTTTGATCATGAAAAAATGTCACATTGAAAGTGTTATGTTCTCTCTCTCTCTCTCTCTCTCTCTGTTTCACACTCACACACACACACAAACAGAGAGAGAGAGAGAGAGAGAGAGAGAGAGAGACCTTGTCAGACACTGGTAGCAAGCAATTCTTGAAAAGATTAGAAACCAGTCAGAGATGCACTGTTGTCTGAGATGTATAGTACAACACTGTTATAGGCATAGCATGGCATCACTGCATTTTGTGACTGCAAATAATAGTGACCGATACAGCATTATTTCTGGCTTGAATCCACTACCTTCTACAGGTATGAATGAATTTTATTTGATGTTTGGATCCTAAAAACTAAATGTGGGAGACCAGGTTTTGGAATGATGGTAGTATACTGAGATTTATACAGACTCTTTGCATTAAACAGAGGCCACTGCAGCTCACACTAGCTTTTTTTAAAATATAGAAATTCCCAATATAGTTAATAGAATTGGCTCATTAGTCTAAGTTTCACTCAAATATAAGACCCACTGACTGTGAACTGGGTTGCAAAATCAAACTTGATGGAAGTGCTGATAAAGATGTTTCATTCTGACTGTGACTTCTAACTGGATAGGACAGAGGAAGAGGTCATTTCAGCAATTCTGTTAAAAGGAATTAAACAAAGAAGTTTTGATGAACAGAATGAGAAATATTTTTCATTACTGACATGTAATGAAGTGTACTTAAATTAATATTGCCGCTTCTTAAATTTGTTATGAGCTTGTTTTAATGAATAGTATGAGTCTTGGAAGAGATAGGAATCAATCAATCAATCAATCAATCAATCAATCAATCAATCAATCAATCAATCAATCAATCAATCAATAAGTTATGTTCATTTAAAAAAACAAATTTTGCATGTGTTTTTCTGCATAGTAACTGTATCAGTTCTCACACTAATTGTGCAAATGTGCCATCAAAGAAAGGAAAACGAAAAATTAAAAAGCCTCTCCCAAGCCCTCCTTGTATATTTTCTATTTAGGGCTCTAAGCAACTTACTTGGGTATATGCTCTACTGAACACATTGATACTTGCTTTTGATTACATTTGCGCAAGACTTGGTCTTGGTAACATTAAAATAGAGAATCTGGGGAGAAACAGATTACAGAAGATGAACAATTAGAAAAACTAGGGACATTGGTGTGGGTATAGAGAAAAGATTAGAAGACCAGCATCCCGTTTGCACAAAGTGGAAGTTGCTGAAGCAGCTGCAGGTCCTGGAGGTGTGCCTGGTCACATGATTGGCAAGCCTCCAGCATCTCTTTAAATACTAATAGCAGCTTCTTCAACTTCTGCATGCAATAATCTGAACAGTTCTTTTGGATAAACTAAGAGAATGGGAAATTAAATTTAAATGGGAAACTAGACTCCTGTAAGAGATATTGTTTTAAGCTCTGTGAAAATCAGTGGAATTGTGAAAGGGATTTTCTTTGCATGGGAAAAGAGACTGGTAGAGGAGATTAGAAGATTTTTGTGTTAATCCCTCAGCTAAGCATTGTTTGCAAACATATAATTAGGTTTAAATGCAAAATTATTAAACTGGAATATTGTGTCTTGTGGGCCAGCATAGGCAGAGAATAGTCTGAATCACTTCCAGTGTAACCTTGGTCTCTGAGGAGAGCAATTTTAGCACCTGGGCAATCAGCACTATCTCTCACCTATTCTGTCCCAAGGCATGAAGAAAATGGAGGAGAATTTGGTATCTCCCTCCCCCAAGAAGAAAGATAAATTTTGTTCTTTCAAATAAAAAGAAAGAGGGTAGGGCCAGAAGGTGCTGCTGTTTTTGTCCCTAATTTATTAATAGATTCACTGCTATGTTTTGGTTTCCTCTGAATTTTGGTGCCCTGAGGTAAGGCCCCAGTTGCTGCACCCTAGTTGAGCTTGTCCTACCTCGAGGGGTTGCTTTAAGGATACAGTGAGGAGGAAGAGATCCATGCATACTGCCTTGAGCTCATTGGAGAAAAGTGGGGTAGAAATGTAGTTCACAGGTAAACACAGATATGGTAATGTTGGTGAAGTTAAACCTGTCAGGTTCTGAGCACCGCCTACACGGAAGACTCTCCTTGGAACCCTTTGTTTGCAAGCACCTTTGGTTCAACGAAGAAAAGATGACAGATTTCTTTAAATATGTCATTATATAGCTAACACTGTCAAGGAAGCTCAGGTTTGTACCATTAAAAACAACGGGGATATATCTCAGAGAGGAAGGGAAGAGGGAGAGGGAGAGAGGGAGGAAGGGAGGGAAGAAGCCAGACAGATAAAATAAATTGATTTTAAAAAAAGAAACAGCAGCTAATAAAAAAAGTTAGATGTATTATTTCTTCTTCAATAGCCAACTATAGACCTGTTTTAATAAGGATATTTAACCATTTATCTATGAGTAATTTATTGAAATAAGGTAGTAAGTTCTCCTGAGGATTTACTTCTTGACTAAAAAAAAAGCATGGAATTGTGAAAGGGGTTTTTGTGTTTTTTGGCACTGCTACTAATATTGTTCTTCTACAGGGTGCTGTATCTATGTGTTTCAGATTTTCAGGGAAAAGCAGGTAAGAATCGCACACCTTTGTGGGAAATGAGTGAAAAGAAATCTTTTCCCATGACTTTATTCATTATTTTTTTCTGTCAATCTTGTTGTTTCCCTATTGATATTAGAGGTCAAGGAGCATCCCTTTCTCATGTTTTGCCTGAGTTTCTTCTTGATTTTGAGGATTATAAGAAATGGACCCATTTACAGCTTATGGTGAAGGTAAAATTTATTTGTATCTATGCACATCAGTCTTGGTCTTAGTCTTAATGTTATATATAATGAACAAGTATTATTCCAATGGCACAAATATATGCAGTGCTTTAGTTATTTCCAAATGCGTTATACCTACCATTGTTTCTTAGTTTGCTCATGAGTTCTTCTGAAAAATAGAAGACCACTATTTTCAGACTCGTAGTAAACAAATGAGGAAATGCACAATTTTGTACAAGGTTGTCCATTAGGAATACAGCTTATGTAGCTATATACTCTGATGTAGAATATAGTACATAGTACTTCATGAATGTATAAGGTTCTTCATGTAGAATCATAGAGCAACTTTATTTGCTATTGTTTGTCTTAGACATTGGTAGCTAATGATTTCTTGTTGGACAAGTTTAGTACGAAATGAAAATGAAAATCAAAACTGCTTCATCTTGATTGGAAGATTCAGAAGTCTTATCCTATCTATTGTCTAATGAACTGTTCTACGTTCCATGGAAAACTAGTAGGTGTCAGATGCAACCTGTTAATTTTTAAAGTGCCACAAACCTGTTTGTTATTTTTGCTGCAACAGGCTAACACACTTAGCCCTCTCGAAAATTACATTTATTTTTTGGATGACTGTCTATTTGAGGCTATGAGCAAAAGAGCATGGACAGATGTGCTGCTTCAAATATACAAGGTGAGATGAATATGCTTTTACTTCATTTATGTTAGAGAGAGAGAGAGAGAGAGAGACGTAAAACAAAGCTATGATTTCAGCTCACTTTAGAAAAGGAAACCATACTACAGTGCAGGCTTCCCGACATGTAGTGGACAAGTATGGTTTAGAACTGTCTGCCTGCTTTTCTTTCTACGGACTCAGCGTTTGGTTTCATAAAATCATGCCTCTCTCTGTGGTATAGAAACATCAGGACCGAACAACTGCTGTTTCCATCACACAACGATTTCCAATGTTAGAACAATGACCGTGTGGTAGAAGGTCCATGTGAGGTTCTTGAGGAGCAGCTGAGATTTCAGGACCTAAATGAGAAAAGAGTTTTAGTAAAAGACATCAACACTTAAAATCATGGACAAGTTCTTGAGGTTTGTTGTAGAAAGGAAAGTTCGGAGAGTGGAGCCTGATGAAAGCAGCAAAGAGACATGGGAAGCTGCAACTAAGGCAAGGAAAGAGGGCCTTCAAATGTTAATGAGAAGGGATTTTTTGAAGACATTATGAAAGCACACACTCAGATAGCTCAGATATATGTGCTACTTGCACTCAGCTAATATTACTAGATGTGACAAACAGCAACTGCAAAAGTAAAACTATAAACTGAAGAAATGTTAAAGCTTATAGAAGAGAGATGGAAATAGAAAAATAAAAATGACATCAAATACAAAAAAATTATATATGTACATCTGAAATAAAATCAGGGAAGTTGAAGGACGCTGGTGGTCCAAATAATGTAATGAAACAGAAAACTTAGAGAGCATCCATGATTCCCTTAATAAGCATTAAAAATCAAGAAAATAACAGGCATATTAAAAATTGAAAGCAACTCATTGATTTAAATAGAATTTACTTTTGAGTAGAATGTAGAGTTTTGCACTCTTCATTTCACTTGTTGATGCCAAATGCAAAAAGGAAAAAAAAGGCAGTTTGTACCAAACTCTGGTAAGATAAAGAAATGATAGACGTTATCCCTTTGGAAATAGTTTGTGAATTCAGTCTCTAGCACTACTGCAGACACATATCATATTTTTCCGTGTGTAAAACGACACCTTTTCCTTAAATAATTAGACAAAAAAATTGAGGGTCATTTTAGCCGCTTTCCCCTGCCTTCTGTGTATAAAATGACCCTCAATTTTTTGTCTAATTATTTAGGGAAAAAGTGTCACCATGGGGCTTAGCAAAAAGGAAGGGAAGGCTCCATTTGGATAAAGCAGCTGTAAATCGCAGCCTTTTGATCCTGAAGCTCTTTCATGGCTGCTTTAGCTGTGAAAGGGCTTTAGCAGCCATGAAAGGGCTTCAGGACCAAAGGGCTGCGATTGTGCAGCCTTTACTTGAAGGGAGCCTTCCCTTCCTTTTTGCTAAGCCCCATAGCTTCGCAAAAGGCAAGGAAAAGCGGCAGTCAAAGGGAGCCCTTTGATCCTTGCTTTTCCTTTCCTTTTGCTAAATTCCGTGGCTTAGCAAAAGGAAGGGAAAGCAGGAATCAAATTTTCTAATTTGGGGTTAGAAAAGGGGGGTCGTCTTATAAATGGAAAAATATGGTAGGTCTCTTGTGAGGCACCTAACTGAAATATGAAAAATTGCCATGATTCTAAGCAAAGTACTTGGTCTGCTAATTTTTAAAATGTTGCTTATCTACAAGAAACTATGTCTGTTTCAGATTTTGGTTCTTCAGCGTGTCTCTGTTATTGAGGACAATTATCAGAACAATTCAGATGATGTGGAACACATTCCAAGAATAAGTGTTAATCCTCTGTCTAGCAATATATATTCTTCACATGAAAGAATTCTTCTTATTTGGTTGAACAGACATTTTGAGAAGATGAGAAAAATTGTGTGGAAAGATTGCAGGAAAGGTGAGAGAAACATTTATCAGATTTTAAAAAGCAGGTTTTGTTTTGAAATCTTGCTTCACCATGTCCAGGAAATTTACTGTAGAGATCTTTCTGTTGTAATAGTACTGTTGGTGTTCTAGGAAAGCTTTGTAATAGTGGTAGGGTCCCCAGATGTTTTGGGATGATAACTCCCAGAAATCTTGGCCAGCACAGCTAGAAGTGAAGGCTTCTGGGAGTTTTAGTCCAAGAACATTTGGGGACCCAAGGTTGGGAACCACTGCTCTAGAGCAGTGGTCCTCAACCTTTTCCGGTTTGCGGACCATTGGGGGGGCAAGCACCGTGCATGGACGGTCAACAGGTGGGGCACCCCCACGCTCAAGGGTGATCATGTCCCACTTCTGCTACCGTTCCCGCAGTGCACCTCACAAGAGAACAGTGCTCCTTTCCTGCAGGGAAGCTGTTACGGGCAGCTGGCCTGGGAAGCGCCAACGGCCAGTCACCGTGCTTGGTGCCAGCGCACCCAGGGCAAGCGGCCGATCCTGCTGCTTCCTGCCTGGCCGTGGCTGACTCTTCCCAAGCGGGAAAGGTGGGCTGGGCTGGGCTGCATGGGGCGCTGCTCCTCCTCCATGGAAGAGGTTCCAGGACGGTGTGCAGCCGCCCAGGCTGCGTCTTGGAGCTAAGGTGGGAGCGTCCCCCTCCCTCCCTGCTGAACGCTTTCTATTGTCGAGGGAAGCGGGGCTCCAGTGACAGGGGATGCTTCCCCTGCTGGAGAAGAAGGAGGCGAGGGCTCCTGGGCAGGGCCGCCAGGAGTGACAGCCGGCGCTGCAAGGGCAGGAGTGAGGCTCCGATGGGAGGCCCCAGAATGTGAGCCCCACTCGGGGGCGGCAGTGGAGGGGAAGCCGCCCTCCTGGAACCTCTTCCATGGAGGAGGAGCAGCATCCCATGCAGCCCGGCCCAGCCCATCTTTCCCACCCGGGAAGAGGCAGCCACGGCCGGGCAGGAAGCAGCAGGATCAGCTGCTCGCCCTGGGTGGGGTGGCGCCAAGCACGGTGATGGGCCGTTGGCAGTTCCCGGATGGGCTGCCCGCAACAGCTTCCCTGCAGGAAAGGAGCACTGGGGGACCCATTAGGACGGAAACACCCCCCTCAGCAAATGCAACACGCCCCTCCGGGGGGAGGCGGGGGCGGAGACTTGTCTCCGTGGCCTAGTTCTGGTAAGCCCATGGACCGGCACTGGGCTGCGGACTGGGGGTTGATGACCCCTGCTCTAGAGGATATTATGGGACTGCAACTCCTATTAGTTCTACCCAGCTTTGCCTATATTGAAGAGCCTCACTTTACCCACCTCTACTTTATAGCACGTTTAGAGATGGTTATAACACATTTTAATTTGCTCAGATATTGAAATATGAAGCTGTGATGGATGACTCCCACTTTCTCAATATCATAGTTCCCCAGGGGGAGAAAAGTACTTTTAGGGACATTTATATCTTGAATGATTTAGAGATTTCTTCAGGAAGGAAATGGCTTTTGCCAAAATAGAGCTTTTCAACTTCTCAGAGAACTGAGGCATCCTTTGAAAAGAGCACATTTAAAGTCAATTGTGTGACTTATTCACCTCAGCAGAAGTACTATGTACTGCTCAAATTTTAGGTATTTCATTACACCAGTGAAAATGTAAAAGCTATGAATGCCAGTACCGTTCTTCCTGTGGCATTGATTGTGACTGCAGTGCTAAATTTGATCTCTTGGGAATTGGATTAAAGCAGCATGAGTTAGAAGAGCATTAACATTTAAAATAATGTGTAAAATATTCTTCTGATATGGAATTAATACTTGAGAGTATATAATACAGCATTGGCATATTTGATGCAGAATTGTGAAACGGCTCATGACATGCATATAGTAGTTTTCAGCTTTCTTATATCAAGTATATGAAGACTGGAAATATTGCTTCTCATTAACCCCCTCAGTATTTTTATTGCAGCATATGGGGTAATAAAGTAACACCTGTGCGGTTATATGCCTACCTGATTTTTCATATCCTTCCAATCCTTTCAGTTCAAATCTGTCCATTCCTCACTATTCACTGGATTCAAGAAACAGTGTGAAATCCTCTAAATAGTTTCCCAAGGCTATTTTAGTTAGTTATATTGTAAGCAGATCACATTATATTTTGGCCAGATTCCTACTCGTATTTTTGTAATTTGCTGCTGCTAACTGCTCCTAAGTCATGGAGTGCCAGGGCACATTTTGCTTGTGCAATTGGCAACCAAGCTGTACCTCAGCATCCACTTTATGCAAACTTTACACAGATACCAACAGGATTCTGGCTAGTATCTCCTCTAAAGTATTCTATACACAACATTCTGAAAGTCTTAATTACGCCCGCCATATGCTAGTTCTTCTGATCTGGGTGGTCTGATTTACATATTATTCAAATTAGATGACATTGTTTGCACCATTACAAATCTATATTTTATACAAATTAAGCACAGTAATTGTTGCATTGTCCCTCCCCCCAGTGTTTTTCAGCCGTGACATTAATTCATATAGTACCATAACCACTGATCTGACAGAATGAATATATTGTAATAGTTATGGTTTTGGACTTGGAACAAGGAGACCCAAGGCTAAATCCCTGCTTTTGAACAGTTTTCTTGGTTTCTTTGGGCCAACAAGAACCTCTCAGCTAAATTTGTCTTCTATGGATGTTTGGTGAACAAAATAAAGCTGCCATGTACATTACTGATGCACATAAATGAAGAAATAATATTTTGCTGCACAGAGGGGCCTCTGGTGATATTTTGATGAGATGGCTGTGAGGTTTTTACCATCAGACGTGACTGATGCCACACACACCCTATCCATGAGAATACCACAGCAATCGCCCATGAGTGACACACTCTCATCTGATTTTCAGGAGAAAATACCAGCAAAGGGTGGAGATAAACCAGAGAAGTTGAGATGGAGAAGAAGGTTCATTTCCTTCACCAAAACAGATTGAACATTATAAGTAGAAAATGTCTCTCCTTGCCATATTCAACTTTTCTCCTGTGCCTGCCTTCCTTTCTTTTTGTATTCTGAACATGTATTGATATTGGAAGATATCAATACATCTTCCAATGAAATATGACACTTCCCATATTTTGCTTCCACTTCTCATCATTATGAACCCTTCGATTCCACCCCCTCACTCCAAGCTACTGTTTGATTTCACTGTTAATGACAGATCTTGGACAATTACTTTTTAGACCACACCATCCACAATGCCTCAGCCAGAAAACTCGATGGCCATCTTGGCTGGAGAATTCTGGTAACTGTGTTTTAAGAATGTAACTTTGCTGTATCTGTGTTTGTTAGAAGGCAGTGATTGGTAGTCTCCTATACACATTTACTGAAGTGTAAGGCCCATTTAATATCTGAATAAGCAGATCAAAGAGCCATACTAAGGTAACTGCATGTGCAATTAATTCTTCCAAAAGGATATTAATATTTCCGACTTGAAATTTCTTTCCAGAAATTAAGTATCACAGCAGTCACAAAGTCAATAAAAATAAAACTGATAGTCTTTTAAGAATTTATACTCCAATTCCTGCTCCTCTCTTGCTTTTCCAAGCTCTTCAGTGCAGCACCTAGCTAAGCTTCTAAGTTAGCTCCCATAACTCCGTGGAGCTTGTTTTTTTCCCTCCAGAAGGTTAAGATGTATAGTTGCAGAGCTTGGCAGAGTTTCTTTTTTGGAGGGTGTTGCTTTCATAACTTCCAACTGGAATTCATTTCTATGGCTTCATTACTTTCTATGCACTTAGAAATGCATAGCTATGCAGGCTTTCTTAGAATTACAAAATTCAGCTGTAAGAGAATGAGTCTTTCCTTTATACATCTATGAGATGCTGTCAAATTGCAGATGCCTTCATTCACTGCGTAAGCATGCAGAAGGTCTTGTTTCATGTTAAATGGCCAACACAGTAACTGCAGGTTTTGTCATGTGTCTCCACTTCTAAAAGGTCTGAAAACTTTTTTTAAAATGACGACTTGGAATCCAGACCAGCTGATGATCTAAGTAAGCATGCATTACTTTCTTAAAATCTGTATAAAACCCAGCCAGATAGATAATATTCTCACTAAAAAGTCTCACCAGAAAAGAAAATAATGCTAAGAAAAGTTGAAGGCAGTAGGAAAGAAGGGCCTAACATGAGATGAGTTGACTCAGTAAAGGAACACAACGTTTAGTTTGCAAAAACTTTTTGATTTCATTTGCAACCATTTGTCAAATCATGTTTTTCTCCACCATATTTCCTTTGCCAATTAAAAACCTGTGAGCACTCTCATGCTATCTGATTTAATTGTGTGTAAATTAAAGATGGGTGATTCATGTTATTAGAAATGAAACTTGGTGCTGTAGGTAATACCAATTCCCATCCCCCACACCCAGAACCAGCTGGCTCATTTACCAAGATCTGCACTGCGCAGTGGTCCACCTATGGTGCTGGCACACCAATCCAGGAAGAAGCCTGGCCAACTGTCACTGCCTTCCCAGACAGCCAACAACTTATTGGCTGAGTGGAAAGAGAATCAACAAGTTCAGATAGCTTAGAGCATTATAAAGACAAATAAGTAGGTCCCAAATCAAATTAAGCCTGAACTCTCTAGAGGTAAATACGAGAAAACTGAGACTGTTGTACTTTTGGCATAGACAGTCAACCCTCGACTTACGAACGTAATCCATTTTGAAAGGACGTTCGTAAGTCAAAAAGTTCGTAAGTCGAAGCTAAATTTCCCATAGGAATGCATTGAAAACTCATTAATCCATTCCGGCTGTTTTTGGTTCTTAGGTTGAGGGGCAGTTTGTAAGTCGAAGCCGGTTAATCCATTCCTACCACTAGGGCAGAATTTCTTTTTTTAATCCTAAAATGGCATAGGTTTTTTTTAAAAAAGGCAGGAAACCATGGGGGGAACGAACAAACACTGTTTTAAATCAAGCACCTTTTACACCAAAACAGGCACCTTTTCAACCAAACA